CTATAAGGGAATCCTGCTATTTGGGGTGTATTTCGGGGGTCCCCTATTTTCGTAAACCCCCATATGACCCTCTTAAACCCAAAAGAGTGAAAAAAATGCCCCAAGGGCATACTATAGGGGCCTTAGTAGATTGCTACAGCACAACTATAAACGGACTCTGAGGGAATACTATGAGTAATTATTCCGTCCCTTAGCCTTGTTTGTAGGGATCCGGAGTCTGGGCCCTTGTCATAATGTACATAAGGGTTATATAACAAGGGACCCAAATTGAGGGCCCATACCTGGAACCTCGACCCTAAACCCTAAACCCTAAACCCTAAACCCTAAACCCTAAACCCTAAACCCTAAACCCTAAACCCTAAACCCTAACCCCTAAACCCTAAACCCTAAACCCTAAACCCTAAACCCTAAACCCTAAACCCTGCACCGAGCTTCTTTGAAATGCTCCTTGGAACGCGTCTGCGTCGAAAACGTCGCCCCTTTGTCGACGATCCACCGCAAGGCCACCTCGGTGTGGGGCTTAGGGGTGGGAGACTGCCGTAGCGTCCCGGGACCAGGACCCTAAACCCTAAACCCTAAACCCTAAACCCTAAACCCTAAATCCTAAACCCTAAACCCTAAACCCTAAACCCTAAACCCTGAACCCGTCAAGGCCTCAAAGGAAAAAAAACATCTGATGGTCGGAGATCGAAGCGGCTTGAGCCCATGACTTGCCGTACTTCTTGCCGATTGCCTGCTGGCGAAGACAAAGCTTTGGGTTTGAGGGTTTTAGGATTTTAGGGCTTTTAGGGTTTTAGGGTTTTTAGGGTTTTTTAGGGCTTTAGGGTTTTAGGGCTTGAGGGTTTTAGGGCTTTAGGGTTTTAGGGTTTTTAGGGCTTCAGGGTTTTAGGGTTTTGGGGTTTTAGGGCTTTGGGGTTTTAGTGTTTTTAGGGTTTTAGGGTTTTTGGGTTTTAGGGCTTTAGGGTGTTAGGGTTTTAGGGTTTTAGCGCCCCCCCACCATAAACAAACACACATAAGGTTTAGGGTTACAAACAAACGCACATAAGACATCAGCCGTAGATACCCTAATAGCCCTAATAGCCCTAATCGCCCTAATCGCCCTAATCGCCCTAAACCCTAAACCCTAAACCCTAAACCCTAAACCCTAAACCCTAAACCCTAAACCCTAAACCCTAAACCCTAAACCCTAAACCCTAAACCCTAAACCCTAAACCCCCAAACCCTGCCAGCCGTCCTCGCAAGCTCTGCGAGCTGGCTTCGAGATGCCTCCGCTTTTCTTGGGAGGCCGATAGGGTTTAGGGTTGAGGGCTGAGGGTTTAGGGTTTAGGGCTAGGGTTTGTTTAGGCTAGGGTTTAGGGTGTTAGGGTGTTAGGGTGCTAGGGTGCTAGGGTGTTAGGGTGTAGGGGGTTTGAGGGTTTGAGGGTTTGAGGGTTTAGGGTTTAGGGTTTGAGGGTTTGAGGGTTTGAGGGTTTGAGGGTTTGACGGTTTGAGGGTTTGAGGGTTTGAGGGTTTGAGGGTTTGAGGGTTTGAGGGTTTGAGGGTTTGAGGGTTTGAGGGTTTGAGGGTTTGAGGGTTTGAGGGTTTGAGGGTTTGAGGGTTTGAGGGTTTGAGGGTTTGAGGGTTTGAGGGGTTGAGGGGTTGAGGGTTTGAGGGGTTGAGGGGTTGAGGGTTTGAGGGTTTGAGGGTTTGAGGGTTTGAGGGTTTGAGGGTTTGAGGGTTTGAGGGTTTGAGGGTTTGAGGGTGTGAGGGTGTGAGGGTGAAGGGCTTTCAGGTTTAACAAGTTCAGGGTTTAGGGTGTTCGGGTTAAGGGTTTGAGGGTTGGAGGGTTTGAGAGTTTCAGGGCTAAGGGTTTGAGGGTTTTAGGGTTCAGCGTTGTAAAAGGCTGTGTGGAGGGCTTAAGGAGGCGTACTGAACGCTTGAGCCTGTTTCGCCCCTCCCTGGCACAACACACAGGACGCCAGTCCAGTACCAACACCCCCACCCTAAACCCTAAACCCTAAACCCTAAACCCTAAACCCTAAACCCTAAACCCTAAACCCTAAACCCTCTCAGGAGAGCCCTCCAACACGCGCTCAACCAAGTGCAGCTTGCCTTGAGAAAGGAAACTGAAACCAAGGAAGGACTCTAAGGGTACATGTTCCCTGTAATATGGGCCCTTAAAAAACCCTAAACCCTAAACCCTAAACCCTAAACCCTAAACCCTAAATAGAACACCTTGGGATGGTTCCCCCATATATATTCCCAGTCCTTAATAGGGAACACAATAGGGGGGTACTAGCATCCCTATTAAGGACTGCTCGTGCAACGGCGAACATCCCAAAAAGGGCCCCTTATATACCACTTAATCCGAGGATCTGATTCATAAAACCATGGACATTAAAAAAAATGGCCCGAACCCACAAGGAAGACTACTTTACATTGCGGGAGCCAAAAGTCCCAAAATGCCCCAGAAAACCTCCGGGAGTAACAAAAAGACAAAATCGGCGACCCAAGAAAAATGGACATGCCGAAGGCTGCAGGGAATAAACAAGAATAATGGAAAGACCGCCGGCCTGCGAGGACGAGAAGCACAGATATTTTGAATTGCTTAAGTAATAATACGACGTGCTCTCCGATTTTTTGGAATTGGAGGCTGCAGCAGAAAACTGCGATTCCTTACTACTTTCATCTAGGAGCATTGCCCAAATCATTCGCTCCTGACCTACCCTCTACGGGGCCGGAATTCAGGCCAGAATTTGGGATTAATAAACCCCCCTAAAATAATGGAAATACCCCGCGGGCCCACGATGACGATAAGCACAGAGAGTTTGACTTGCTTAAGGCTTAAGTAAGCAATTGCCCACGTCCTCTCTTTTTTTGGACTTGGAGGCTGCAGCAGAAAACGGCGATTCCTTACTACTTTTCACCTAGGATTATTACCCAAATCATTCGCTCCTGACCTACCCCTTACGCGGCCGGAATTCAGGCTAGAATTTGGGATTACAACCCCCTCAAATAATGGAAAGCCCGGCGGGCCCACCATGACAAGGCAAAAGCATAAGCTTGCCAAGAAGAGGAGCGGAAAAGGACACAAGAGGACCTTTCCGCGCACCCCCCCCCAATCCCAGCCCAGGAAACAAAGGACGCCCTGCCTTTATTCTTGGGGGGGGGGGGGATGCGGGGGGAGGGGGGCACCCCCCCCAATAATCAGAAGCAAGGATTACGTACCCCACAACACTTAAGGGCCCCTACATCAGAACCCTTTAAGGAAGGTAAGGGACCATATTTAGGGACCATCGAGCTACCCTTGGAAGGACAGCGTAAACTCCGTAGACTCTGAGCTGTCTGAGATCGAAATTATGCATACTTGAGCTGAGAAGAACTGAACTCAGACTGAATCCTAAACGCTCAAAACCCAAAACCCAAAACCCAAAACCCTAAACCCTAAACCCTATAAACCCTAAACCGATCAAACCCCTAAAGCTCCTGAACCTGAAGCCGGAAGCCCTCCTGCTACGCGCGTCCCGCGTGGCCTCCTGTGCTCCCACCAAGTGGTGCCCAGGCTTGCACCACCACCTTCAGGTCTTCTAAACCCTAAACCCTAAACCCTAAACCCTAAACCCTAAACCCTAAACCCTAAACTTATAAGAATCGCATCTGGCCACAGCACAAAGGCCTCTTTAAATAATTATTTTTGTAGATTCGTTGCAAATTTTTTGCAGATGTGGGGTTTCGTGATTTTGCAGACGGGGCCCCGGGGCCCCTGGAGCATTGCAGCTTTGGTTGCAGATTTTTTGCAAGCCGGCTTGCAGATTTTTTGCAGACGGCCCGGCCAGGCAGAAAAGACACCATTCGGGTTTTGTCAATGGGCTTTCTATTAAATTAATAAGCAAAAACCACCGTTTGCAAGAAACATTGCAACAGAATCGCAAAAAAATCGCAACCAATTTCGCAAGAATTCTGCAGCCGAAGTCGCAAAAAACCTGCAACCCAATTTGCAATCCAAAAAACCGTTCGCAACAAATTTGCAACCCAGCCCACAACAAATCTGCAAGCCAAAAACCAGCCGCAATCCCAGCCCGCAACCCGGGCCGCAAAAAATAATTATTTGGGCCCCCTGGCTCTGTGGCCATCCACATCTTATAACCCTAAACCCTAAACCCTAAACCCTAAACCCTAAACCCCTTTTATCGGTTTAAAAGGAGGGGCCCCGAATGGAGAGCCCTGAATCTTGTTTCCCTATATAACCCCCCAGATATACCTTATAGAGTCCCCCCCCCACAAGCCCCCAAAAACCCAAAAGCCGCACAAGTCCCACAAGGTCTAAACGCCATGAAGGAAGCCCCCAAAAGCCCCCAAACTCCAACAACAGCTCTAAAAAAGCCGTAAAAATGAAACAAGTCCCAAAAAGCCCCCCCCCCCCCCCCCAGAAAACTCCAAAGGCGCCGCAAGCCCCAGAATGCCCCCAAAGCCCTACAAGCCCCAGACTGACACCCAAAGCCCTGAAATCTCTCAACGCCCCAAAAGCCCGAATCCTTAGGGTTTAGGGTTTGGGGTTTAGGGTTTAGGGTTTAGGGTTAGATGGCATCTGAGAGTTTGATGGTCCAAAGGCTTACTGAAGCCCAAGACCCCTTGATTCAGGGAATCTGCCGTTCATTCCGTAGGGTTTAGGGTTTAGGGCTTAGGGTGTAGGGCTTAGGGTAGGGGGTTTAGGGTTTTGGGTTTTGGTTTTAGGGTTTAGGATTAGGGTTTAGGGCTTAGGGTCTTACATTACATGGGTGGTTCTAAAAATTAGGATCCCTTGTTTGGTCCCCTATATAGTACGGCACCCGCAAGAAAGGAACTTCCGTATAGGGATCATTGATATGATTTCAGGTATATGCCTGTAAGGGGTATTGAGCTCGCTGCACAAACCTTTGCAAAGGCATTCTGAGCAGTAGGCATGTTTTAAGATATTTGGGTGCTTATGGTCTCCAGGGTAATTAAAAGAAAACACGGTACCCTTTGTTGCGCTGTTTGGCTTAGCAAAAGAGCCCTGAACCCCGAACAAAAGGTGAGGAAGGGAACCGCCTGGGCTTTCCAAAAATGTGCGCTAACCCTAAACCCTAGCCCTAAACCCTAAACCCTAAACCCTAAACCCTAAACCCTAAACCCTAAACCCTAAACTGTAAACCCCTAACCGGCCGAGTGACGCCCCGATTGCTGTTCTCCTCGAGTATGTTTGGCTCGGCGTAGCTGATGGAGAATGGTAGCTGGTTGACCTTGTGGTTTAGGGTTTAGGGTTTAGGGTTTAGGGGTTAGGGTTTAGGGAAACCCTAAACCCTCAACCCTAAACCGGGGCCAAGCACCAAGAGCACGAAAGACACCCGAAACCTGCAACCCCGCGAAACCTACACCAAGCTCCTTACGTTCCAACCTCTTTCGAAGGGAACTACAACGTGTTACGTACCTATGTACAAAAGTCCCTCAAAGGCCTATTATCTTAAAGCAAAGGGTCTTTGCTTGGTGCAAGGTTTCTCGGGCTGTTGGGACGACAGGTTCACTTTCGGGGATCAGGTGCTTTAGAGTTTAAGGGTTCAGGCCTACTTGGAGGTTCATGGTACTTTCAACCCAGTCATGACTGTTCTTGTAACCCGGGCTCTAAGATGGTTATACTTGTGCTGTAAGTGCAGTTGTCATTGGGTTACTCAGTACCATGAACCTCCAAGTAAACCCTGAAAAAGAAACGATGATCCCTAAACCCTGAACCCTACATACCAAACCCTAAACCCTAAATAAGAAACAATAACCCCAAATACCATGAACCTCCAAGTAGGGTTTAAGGGTTCAGGGTTTAGGGCTCTGGGTGGTCTAGGGTTTAGGGTTTAGGGTTTAGGGTTTCGGGTTTAGGGTTTAGGGCTAGGGTTTAGGGTTTAGGGGTGCAGGGCATGGCCCAAAACTTAACACAACTTATCATTGCCGCGTCTTTGTTTGGGGACCCTAAACCCTAAACCCTAAACCCTAAACCCTAAACCCTAAACCCTAAACCCTAAACCCTAAACCCTAAACCCTAAACAATGCTTGCTCTTCCGACCTTGGGTTGTGCGGCTTAGGGGGGCGTTTGCTTTGGAGGGCGGGAGTCGCAGAGCCCTCCCAGCAACGGGTGCAGGGTTTAGGGTTTAGGGTTTAGGGTTTAGGGTATATGACAGAAGATGCAGGGACCATGTAAGGGGAGAGTCGTTGTAGGTTATCGGGGCTTAAAGGGTTTAGGGATTAGGATTTAAGTTTTGGGGTTGGTAGCCCAGCAACCATACTAGAACAAGGGCACCCTTTTTGGGGTTGGCTACTTAATAGGGGAAGCCAGAAAAAAGGGCTACCAAGGGGTTCAGGGGTAATCTGAAGCAAGGTGGGGCCTCTATAGGGTTTGGGGTTTAGGGTTTAACTTTTTGGGGTTCAGGGGTAATCTGAAGCAACGTGGGGCGTCTAGAGGGTTCTGGGTGAGCAAACATCAAAAAACTTGTCGGCGGCTGCGTCACCATTGGCGGCGTCAGGGAGGAGTTCGACAGCAGGCAGTCCAGCTGATCAGGTGAGAAGTTGCTGACCTTGGATGCTGCTCAGGCGCTCCGGCCTAACCACCCCTCAGCACACATTCTTCAGGCAAGTTTAGGTTTGAGCCTGGCTTTTGAGGGAGGCAGGTGCCGGGGGGGGGGGGGGGGATGGTTGAGGGTGAAAGGCTCAAGAACATGAAGCCCTATTCACCCCTAAACCCTAAACCCCCAAACTCCTTCACACTAAACCCTAATCCGTAGACCCCAAACCCTAAACCCTGAACCCTAAACCCTAAACCCAAAACCCTGTGAAGCGAGACCCAAGGCGTTTGCAACCCGACGGGCAAGGCACGGCCAGACTCTTTGTCTGCCCCGCTGCGAGCATCTCCTGCTGTGACATGGCTTAGCGGTTCAAGGCTTGGGGTTTAGGGTTTAGGGTTTGGGGTTTAGGGTTTAGGGCTTAATTAGTGTTTACGGGGGCAGTTTGGGTTGAGAGGCTCCTCTGTGAAGTACAGAATCCGCGCGGTATGCTTAGCATGTGGTCCGTGACAGCGTGTGCACCTACACCCCTAATTAAGCCTTAACCCCCTTTGATGTACATGTAAAATGATTGAAGCCTTGTTATTGTACCCTACGCCTCAAGCCCCAGGGTTGAGGGCTTGGGGTAGCAGTTTTTTTGTTAAGGGACTTGCAACCACTATACTTGTGGGATTTAGGTTCTTTAGGGTCTGAGGTTCTACCGCCTCTTGTTAAGGGACATACATCCAAAAGTCTGATGACACCTACAGGCCTTCATAACTCTACCTGTAAGTGGAGGGACTCCCCAACCGCAAGACCCGAAACCCTAAAACCCTAAAACCCTAAACCCCAAACCCTGACACCCTAAACCCAAAAAACCAGAAACCCTATGACAAGCGCCTATACCCTGGGGCCACTCCAGGAATACTCTGGGGTGGGGAACTCCAGGAACAAGGCATTTGTGGTTTGTAGAACTTGGCCATAAACCCTGGACCCTAAACCCTAAGACCTAAGTCTTAGGGTCCCCTCAACCCTAAACCCTAAACCCTGAACCCTAAACCCTAGACCCTAGACCCTAGACCCTGGCATGCTACGGGATGCAAATTGTGGCCTCGAAGGCTTGCCACTGGCCTTTGATGGAGTCGCAGTTGGGTCCTGACGCCGCCGAATTCGTGTTTAGGGTTTAGGGTTTAGGGTTTAGGGTTCAGGGTTTAGGGTTTAGGGTGAGTGGGAACTGGTGGCTTTCGACCTTACTTGGAGGTTTATGGTACTGATTAACCCGGACCTTGGGTTACATAATTACCTCCCTTGAACCCCATCCCTTCTTAAACCCTAAACCCTAAACCCTAAACCCTAAACCCTTTCGCGTCCTGGGTAGTCCAGCATGATCATGTCCACATACGTGATGCCACCGGCCTTGAACTCCTCCAGGTTCTCCTGGATTCTGGGGGCTGGGGTGGTTGTTTAGGGTTTAGGGTTTAGGGTTTAGGGTTTAGGGTTTAGGGTTTAGGGTTTAGGGTTTAGGGATTCGGGATTTGGGGTTTCGGGTGCAGGGTTTTTTTGGGAAAGTGTTGTCGGCTTTGGGGGTACCCGTAAGGCCTGAGGGCTTTTGCGGCGTTAGGCCATAGAGTAAACTGGAGAGGGTTTACAGGGCCTAGGGCTGTAGGCCTCCGATGACCTACCTAGTTGAGGGCCCTAAACCCTCCACAAACCGTAAACCCCAAACCCTAAGTCCTAAACCCTAAACCCTAAACCCTAGAGTTCAAACCCTGAACCCTAAACCCGAAATCCCAATTGCCAGGTCCTGTCCTGGCAGCCCTTCTTCGTCGCCTTATACGCCGACTTGAAACCTGGTGTCACAGAAGCGCCCAGGAAAGGGCTCAGGGTTTGGGGTTTGGGGTTTGGGGTTTGGGGTTTGGGGTTTAGGGTTTAGGGTTTAGGGCTAGGGTTTAGGGTTTAGGGTTTAGGGCTTCGGGCCGAGAGTTTCAAGGGTTTTGGGGCCTGGGGCGCCGCAAGTCTGATGCAGCGCACAAGGTCTTAGGCATGTTTTGGGCTCTCAGTTCTTCAAAAACCTAAGCCCCAAATCGCCCCAAACCCCAAACCCAAAACCCCAAACCCCAAACCCCAAGCCCCAAACCTCAAACCCCAAGCCCCAAAGCCGACAGGAAAAAAACAAAACTTTAAGCTTCTCAAGCTGCTCAAACCTCTTAGCAGGTACAGCCTTTGAACCACAGACCCCGAGTTCCCCAGATTAACCCTAAAGCCCCACACAAGCCCCATCAAACCTGTCCAGGGTAAGGGTTTAGGGTTAGGGTTTAGAGTTTGGGGTTTAGGGCATTAGCGCTAAACTAGCCCTAAAACCTACACCCTAAACCCTAAACCCCAAACCCTAAACCCTAAACACAAAAACCCTAAAACCTAAACCCTAAATCCCTGAACAAAAACATCAAGGCAAGGAGCCCCGGGCGCGGTTCGAAACCACCGAGCCACAAATGAACACCTCCTCCCTGGGCACCTCTTCTGGGGCGCTTCGTCACGAAGTTCGTAGAGGCTTCGGGCTTAGGGGTGAGGAAGGAGCCCTAGACCCTAAACCCTAGCCCTAAACCCTGACCCTACACCCTAAGCCCTAAACCCGAAACCCCAAACCACAACCCTAAACCTCGAGGGTCTAGAGCGCATGTCTTCACTTCTTCCGGGTGTGGATATTGGGTTCAGGGTTTAAAGTTCGGAGTTTAGGGTTTAATGGGGTTTGGGGTTTGGGGTTTAGGGTTTAGGGTTTGCCGTTTACGGTTTAGGAGAGTTGGACTTGGTGTGGGGTTTCTGATGTACTTTTGTCAGTCGAGGCCTCAGCCTGAACTCTCTAACACAGAAACCTGAGACCCTAAATCCTAAACCCTACATCTGAAACCGACACTCCAAAGCTTAATCTCTGCATCCTGAGTACATCCCCCTAGAGCCCCCCACACTAAACCCCACACCCGATGCCCCAACCCTAAACCCTAAACCCTCAACCCTAACCCGAAACCCTACTTGGAGGTTCATGGCACCTACTAGCCCAATCATAACTGTACTTATAACCCATTGGTAACCCTGTAAAGGCACTTGAGGGGTGCATAAGTGTCTTATAAGTACAGCTAAAACTGGGCTGTGCCATGAACCGCCAAGTAAACCCTAAACCCTAAACCCTAAACCCTAAACCCTAAACCCTAAACCCTATGCTTAAACTGCCGTCAGGCTGCGCCAGAGGCCTGGAAGCCCTTGGCGAAGCCCTTCTGGTTTCCGGCCTGCAGGGAGTGGAATTGAAGGTTCAGGGCTGAGGGTTCCCTAAACCCTAAACCCTAAACCCTAAACCCTAAACCCTAAACCGGTTTAGAGTTGGGGGAGTCTGGGGTGGAGGAGTTATGGCGGAGGGTTGAAGGGCTTAGGGGCAGAGTTAGGCTCAGTGTAGCGACTGTACCCAACAAGAAGGCCCAAATCACCCAAAGTAAGACTCGCACGTGCCTGTCTTGTGTGGGGGGAGGGGGGGGGGGGTGGTAGTTAAGGTGGTGGAGCGAATGTGGGGTTGTGTCCCACGACATAGGGGCAGAGCTGAACCGGCTTGCTGGTTTAAGGACTTGGGCCCTAGTTTGTCCACACCCAGAACCCTGATGTAGCAAGCTGGCCTTAAACCCTAAACAACCCTAGAAAACCCTAAACCCTAAACCCTGAATCCTCACTGCCCGGCGGCCAGCACGGAGGCAAAGAAGTTCCTGTAGCCTAAGGACAGAGCAGTCCTTGGCCGCTGCACTAGCACAGTCACAGAGGGGTTCAAAGTTCAAGGTTTGGGGTTTAGGGTTTCGGGTTTAGGGTTCAGGGTTTAGGGTTGAGGGTTGAGGGTTGAGGGTTTAGGGCTCTTTATGGTTTTGGGGAAGGCTCCAAGTAGGGCCCCTTCTCGGGCCATTCTTGCCCTACTTTCTACCAACTTGCTGCCCTGATCCGCCAAGTACAACTGAAACAAGACCTCACACGCTGGCAACGTCTGAACCTGGTCATGAAAAGATCTCCCAGAGTAACCTAGGAATCTGCCAGGGTGCCAATTGTTTGAGCAGGGATGAAAAGGGCACCCGGCCCCCAGCCCCCAGCCCCCCCCCTCCCCCCCCTGCCAAGAAAGGAGTGAGAGCCCACTCTGGGTCAGAGTCATTGGTCAGGCACATGGAATAACGAGGTTCCCCTAACCCTAAACCCTAAACCCTAAACCCTGAACCCTGGACCCTAAACCCTGTATGACTAGGCTGTCTTGCTGCAAATACGGTTTGTATAAGGGTTTGGGTGTAGGTTGAGGGTTGGGGTGTAGGGTGTAGATGCGCTGCACTTCGTGCGGAGTGCATGCAAATTGGTATATGTGCATACGTACATATTCCCAGTGACACTCCGCTACGTGCCTGCTAGATTCATGTAGACTATGTACATCGCCACATATACATGTTACAGATTTATATACAAAAGCAAAACGAAAGCGGGTTTCCGAAAATAGGGGACCCCTAAAATAGACCCCCGAATAGTAGAACTCCGTAAAGATAATAGCCCCAATAACATACCCAAATTTTCGGAAACCCCCTAATTGACAAAGGAATGCAACATCAGTTTGAATAAGAACCGCGATAACATACCCCCAATGTTCGGAAACCCCCCTCCCCCTAAATGACGAAGGAATGCGAAATACGTTTAGGGTTTAGGGTTTAGGGTTTAGGGTATAGGGTGTAGGCTTTAATTCAGCGCAGGCGCTCGGTCAACTGCTGTGCCACATCGTCGCCGTAGATCCTCAATGGCAAGATCTCCCGCTGCGGACAGCAGAGCCCGCAACCCTCAGCCCTAAACCCGAAAACCTAAACGGCCCTAAACCCTAAACCCTAAACCCGAAACCCTAAATCTTAGACCCTAAACCCTAAACCCTAAACCCTAAACCCTAAACCCTAAAACCCTAAACCCTAAACCCTAAACTAAATAAGGCTGCGCTCCACACGGGCACCCGAATACACCTTGCAACCCAGATTACATCCTAAACCATGCAAGGCGGCAAAACATATACCAAACTCCCAAGTCTGACATGCCGGCAAAACCCTAAACCCCAAACCCCAAACCCCAAATCCTGAACCTCTAACCCTAAACCCTAAACCTCCAACCCTAAACCCTAAACCCTAAACCCTGAACCCTAAACCCCAAACCCTAAACCCTAAACCCTAAAACCCTTTGCACTCATCCGGGATGCTGTAAGCCGAAGGATGCCTTTGGAAACTTCAGGCCGTTCTTGAGCACCACGACGTCCTTTGTCGGGTTTGTTAGGCTGTTTTTAGGGTTTTCAGATTGTTTAGGGTTTAGGGTTTAGGGTTTAGGGTTTAGGGTTTAGGGTTAGGTTGTCCGAAAACGGGGGGGTAGGGGGGGGGGGGGGGGGGGCAGCTTTTCCATGGAGCCCCCCCCCCCCCCACCCCCCTACCCCCCCCCATCAACCAACTTTGGCATCCTTTGACCTAACGAACGCGTTTAAACCTTTCAACTATGCTCCAGCGGGGTCGGCGGCTTGAGCCGGAGGCTCTTAAATTTTAGGGTTTTCAGGGTGTTTAGGGTTTTGAGGGCTTTTAGGGTTTCTCGGGTTTAGGGATTTTAGGGGTTTTAGGGTTGTTTAGGGTTTAGGTTCTTTTTGTTCGGCTTTGGGGGTGTTTAGGGCTGTTCGGGCTTCCCCCTCGCAGTATCCTCTTGAAGAATGAAAACGTGTCTCCATAGACACCCTACAAAGCGGGTGTACGGAATTCGTTCTCATTCTCTCCAAACGATACACATGTCGCGACGTTGCTAACAAATAAGGCAGCTTCACGTATCTTACCTGTCGTCCACTGCTTGCTGCCACGTCCGCCATTTCGCGTAAGCTGTTGTGCTCTTCAGGGACATACTATCAACCTTAGGATGTTGTAAGACCCTGAACCCTGAGACCTAAACCCTAAAACCCTAAAACCCTTAAAACCCTAAACCCTTAAACCCTTAAACCCTTCAACCCGAAACCCTAAACTCTAAACCCTAAACCCTAAACCCTAAACCCTAAACCCTAAACCCTATGGTGGCACCCTATAGTTTGGCGGATGCTGGGTGTTCAAACTTGCCAAGCTTCACTCATCGCTCACAACTGGACATATCACTTATCTGAGTATGACGAGACTGCAACCTGCGTTGGGCAGCTTATACGTCACGTTGCAACCTAAGTTCCCAAAGAGCCCAATGCCCCTTAAGAAATTACTATGCCTTAAACCATCTTCAGGGACCCTAAATATGCTAAAGTATGCTTCCCAATTGAGGGGTATAGGGCTCTCTGGGTTTTAACTTGGGGGTACCCTAAACCCTAAACCGTAAACTTCCCCTAAACTCTCCCCACGTTGCCCGAAAAAAAACCGCACGCGCCAGGCAACGCCGCCCGCGGCGCCCGCTGGCGGGATACCAGCGGAAAGCGCACCAGTCCTTGCGGGCTTTGGGGTTGAGGCAACGGCTTAGGGTTTAGGGTTTTAGGTTTCACCTACACCCTAAACACTCATGCCCTGAAGCCCTAAATACCTTAAACCTTATACACCTTAAAGCTGAAGGCTCATCTAGACCTGAGGGTAACCTAGGAAAAAAGGGTAAGACTCTGGGTCCCAAAAACCTAAAACCCTAAACCCTAAACCCTACACCCTAAACCCTAAAGGCTAAACCCCAAACCCTACTTATAGGCCACCCTCTTCGTGTGCAGGGCGGGGAGGGGAGGGCCCCCAAGCCCCCAGGCCCAAGCCCAGAAAGTGATCCTCTTGTCTTGGCTTTAGAGTATAGGGTTTAGGGTTCAGGGTTTAGGGTTGAGGTTTGAGGGAATAAAAAGAGATTCAAGCGTAAACGGTTTAGGGGTGTGTCACCCGAAGCCCTTTTTAGCCTGGATCTCAAATCCTGAGTGGTATGGGAAAGGCCGTGCTAATCATTTCCGATCGGGTCGAAGGTTGAACGACTAGGGTTTAGGGTTTAGGGTCTAGGGTCCAGGGTTTGGGGTCTAAGGATTAAACATACAGCCCGGGTGGGCAGGGATTTCCTTTCTGAGTTTTGATTGAAGAAGGAAGAAAGTTGCAGTAATGAGCTGCGGCCTGGGCTTATTCACGGTTTGCCCTTGCAGCTCGTGACAACATCCTATAAATACCAAGCCCCAAACCCTAAACCCCATTGTAGACCCTAGACCCAAACCTAAACCCGAAACCCTAAACCCTAAACCCTAAACCCTAAACCCTAAACCCTAAACCCTGAACACTGGTCCCGAAATCCTAGATGAAGGGGAGACCTCCCTCAACCTTATCGGCCCTTTCGGACCCCCTCACCTGCAGGTTGAAGGTTTAGGATTCAGGGTTTCGGCTTTAGAAACTTTCACAACATCCTAGACCCTTGGCTTTAGAAAACCTCGAAAACTACTATTTGCTTCATAACCCAAGAAATACAAACAATCCCCACATTGCTCTTGCCAGGAAGAGTGTTTTCATTGTCGGGGGTTCTTAAGTTTTTCATTGTCGGGGGTTCTTGAGAACATAGTACAGTAAAACCACTGTATAAGAAACCACTGTTTAAGAAACTGAGCCCCTAGACCCGGGAATATTGGTCGAAAATCCTACTGTAGGCCCTTTATCCCTTCTGGTTTAAGGCTTAAGGAGACCTACAATCACCCCGTAGTTTTTCTTGGAAGCGCATGCCATGGTCTAAGGCCCTAAACCTTAAGACTTTACCCCCCCCCCCCCCACTCTATCTAGGAAAGCCTAAGCCCCTAAACCCTAAACCCTAAACCCTAAACCCTAAAACCCTAAACCCTAAACCCTGATGAACCCTAAAGCCTGAAGCCTAAACCGGACAGTGCACAGACTAAGGGCGGACATCTTGGGACCTCGGTTCGGGTTTTAGGGTTTAGGGTTTAGGGTCTAGGGTCTAGGGTTTAGGGTTTAGGGTTTAGGGCTTGGGGTTCAGGATTTAGGTTTAGGGTTTAGGGTTTAGGGTCCGCCGACCCTGGCGGCGTGTTGGATGGGAAAAGGAGGTGAAAACCTCCCTCTTTCCCTCACCCCCCCCAAAACGCGGGGGGGGGGGGGGGGGTAGGGGGGGTACCCCTCCAGCTTTTCCGTGCAGCACCCACAAACGCAAAAACCCAAACCCCCCCCCCCACCCCCCACCCCCCCCCCCCCCCCAACCCCCCCCCCCCCACCCCCCCCCCCCCCAACCCCCCCCCCCCCACCCCCCAACAGGAACCGCAAACAAAATCACCAAACCCCAAACCTTAAACTTGTTCTGCTGCGGGGTCGGCGGCTTGAGCCGGAGGCTCTTAAATTTAGGGTTTAGGGTTTAGGGTCTACAATGGGGTTTTTGGGATTAGTTGCATGGTCCCTTAATATGGGCCCTTAGGTGGGAACCCTTCCACTTAAGTGCGAACCCTTTTATGCAAAAAAACAAGGCGCATGCTTCAGAACCCATGAAGTAAGGTAAGGGACCATATTAAGAGACCCCTGAACCCTAAACCCTAAACCCTAAACCCTAAACCCTAAGGTCTTGGGACCCACAGAATTTCGATTCCGCCGCGCGGCAAAGAGCTGACGAGTGCGGCTTGTCTTCGCCCGAAGGCGCCTGGGGCTGCTCTTCTGTGTGGGGGGGGGTTTAGGGTTTAGGGTTTAGGGTTTAGGGTTTAGCGTTTAGGGTTTAGGGCTTAGGGCTTAGGGCTGAACAGAAGAGGGGTTTTAAATTCCTCACCAGCCCCTGAAACTCTTGTGCTCTTATGCTGGAGTCTCAAGGCAAACCCTCACCAAGTAGAGAATGCTCGCAGGGTTGAAGCCACAAAGTCAACCCAAAACAACGAAACCTGAAACCCTTGGACAAACTGCAAAAATCGCGCAAGCCCACAACTGCCAAATACAATCCCAAACCAGAAAAAACCTTACCAGACCCCGAAAATCCCATGCCTGAAAACCTTAAGAGCCCCAGGCTCCCCAGCAAACCCTCAAGCCCCCTAAGCCCTACCCTTAAACCCTAAACCCCAAGCCCTCAACCCCGAAACCCTAAGCCCCAAACCCCAAGCCCTAAACCCTAAACCCCAAAACCTCTAAAACCCTCAAATCCTCGACCCCCAAACTCCTCAAACCCATCTCAGCATGAGCACCACTTGGCTGCTCCCGAACTTTGTTATGTTTCGGGTTTCGGGTTTCGGGTTTCGGGTTTCGGGTTTCGGGTTTCGGGTTTCGGGTTTCGGGTTGGGGGTTTAGGGTTTAGGGAGTTCGGGATTCGAGTTCAGGGCTCGGAGTTTAGGGTTTCGGGAATTTGGGTGAGTGTAAATGGGCACCCTCGACTGATCCTCGAGGGCCATTAGGACCCCTTTATGAGTCCTATGCGTGCAGCCAACAAAGCTGCTTGCCCCTAAACACTATAAACCCTAGACCCTTAACCCCAAACCCTCAACCCTAAACCCTCAAGCCTAAACCCCAAACCGAGAACCTTAAAGTACAGCATTCCCGCCCTCAGGTGCTTCGGGTTGAGGGAAACAGGGTTGCCAGGGCCGACTGTTCCAGAGTTTTGGGTTCAGGGGGTCATTCAAGTTTAGGGTTAAGGTAAGTTTAGGGTTTAGGGTTTAGGGTTTAGGATTTAGGGTTTAGGGTTTAGGATTTAGGGTTTAGGGTTTAGGGTTGGGTTTAGGGTTTAGGGTTTAGGCTTTAGGGTTTAGGGTTTAAGTCTAGAGCCCTTCGCATGCCTGGCTTCGGAGCGGACTCCTCCGAAAGCGCCACGAAATCTGTGGACTGCACGCGCCTGCAGAAACCTGGATTTACGGTTTAGGGTTTAGGGCTTAGGGTTTAGGGTTTAGGGCTTAGGGTTTAGAGTAGGGTTTAGGGGCTTATTTAGGGCTTCGGGCAGGGCTTGGGATTCAAGGGTAACCCCTACAAGAAAGCATGGATAAAAGTAGAGTTTCAAGGCCCCCACACCGGGTTAGAACTCAGGTTAGCAATCCCTTTTCAAGTCTACTTCAACAGTTATGTGGCCCTCCTTGTATCTTATCAGGGGCAGCAGAAGGCGTCTGGGCTGGTGATAATACTACTTTCTCTCGCCCTAAACCCTAAACCCTAAACCCTAAGCCCCCCCCCCCCCCCCCCCCCCCCCCCCCCCCCCCCGCCCCCAAAAAAAGAAGTGGTTTCGGCCACCACCAACTTGAACCACCACCAGGAGATCGTCCCACTGGTTCTGAGTAGGCAATGAATGCATTAGGCGCCTTTTATTCCCCTAAATATACCCTTATCTACTATTTGCTTAAGAACCCCAAAAGAATGGAAAAACAAAAATCCTTATATTACCCTGTTACCCTTGTAAGGAAGAATGTGTTTTTTCTTTTGGGGGTTCTTAAGTAATTGGTAGTTAAGGGGTTATTAAGATGTTATTAAGTATTAGGGCCCCACAGCCCCACATTCCCTCATTCCCCGCCCCTTCTGCATTAACGAGGGTTGAGGGAATTAGGGTTGAGGGTCCGGGACGTACAACCTATGCTTTTCTTACGTATAGCCCCGTTTAGGCCCCTTGAGCATTGCTGGAAAAGAGCCCCCTGTTTGTAGGGAAACCCCCTCTTAAACCCCCCGACCCCCCAATGAACCCCCCATAAACAACCCTAAACGCTATGCCCTAAACTCAAACCTCCCCAAGACGAGCAGCAAAGCGCCAGCACGGCGCTAACAACCGCCAAGACCTGCCGCAAACGGGCCGGTGCTCGGCTGATGAGGCTCTCGGGCTTACATCGAGTGCGCAAGTTGTTGTCCTAAACCCCAAACCCTAAACCCTAAACCCAAGCCTCCACCCTCAACTCTGATCCCCAAACCCTTGACCAAAGGCTCCCAATATGCG